AAAAAAAAAAAAAAAAAAAAAAAAAAAAAAAAAAAAAAAAAAAAAAAAAAGCAAGACTCACCAATTCTGTTATTTGTGTGGTCCCTGACTCGAGAATCCACAGGGCAATCTGGGGCATTCCCACTGCTTGGAGCCACATCAGTCACACTCCGAGGAGGACTCTGGGCTTTTTCTGTGCTGGACACCAAGTTATTGTTGGTTTCCAAAGGAAGGGCTCTGTCAATTAACTCCTCCTCTTCCAGCCCAGTGTCAGTGGTCAGTTTGATCTTCTGCCAACAGAAACAGGAGAGCAGGAGTGGGGTGAGTGTAAAAACACTTTGGACACTGCAGGTCCACAGAATCTTCCTGTGTGAGTGTAAAAACAGTTTGGACATTGCAGGTCCACAGAATCTTCCTGTGAGAGTGTAAAAACAGTTTGGACACTGCAGGTCCACAGAATGCTCCTGTGGCAGTCAGGATGACAGAATGTCCTTCCCAGCACTGGCACAGGGAGTGAAATGTTCCAAAGCACCCAACAGGCATGGGAATTTCAAACCAGGCTCCTGCATCACTCAAGACCATGTTTCAAAATAGTGTTTCTAAGCTGAATTCACAGATTTCTGATGACATTTTCAGGAATGTACCTCATTTCCACTGAAGAAAATATGTTTTAAATACCTCTTAGACTTTGCAAAGACCTATCATGTTCCTATGGAAGAATAGAGCAAGCCAGAGGCCAAACTGATTTAACTTCAAAATGTAAATGCCACAGCAGAATGTCAGATAGAAGAAACAAGCTCAGACTACCTAACACATGAATGATTAATTACTAGCAGTTCTTTAAAAGAGGAACCAAAATCTGAGAGAAGGCAAAGGTCCTGCACCAAAATTTTCTGGTGGTTCTGATCATCTTCTTCTGTTTCCACAAGGTTGGGAAAGAAAAAAGAAGATTTTGAAATGTGCATTTTATAATCCTTGCTCATGAGTGACTCTATAGAGGCAAGAATTGAAGCTCCTCATGATTCAGGAATTAACAATTACACACTGAAATTATGACAGCTGATTGCAACCAGTGACTGGAAAAAGCAGTATCTTGTGTGTGTGCAGACACACAACATTTAAAAGCAAACTCATTAAAAAAAAAGAAAAAAATTAACAGTCTAAAGAGTGATTTAGCAGATCTGGACATTTGAAGATAAAAAGCCTAATAAACTGAGAAGACTCAGAGAATGAAAGTGGCTGTAATTTTGCTGACAGAGGGGAAATCAAACCAAGCAGTGATGATTTCAGCAGCTGAGGAGCTGCTTTCTGCTGCCATATTGACTGATGTTTGTCCTGTTCATCTGATGTTTGTCTGCTCCTCTGCAAACTGTACTGAAACACCAGGAGCTTAAATAAAATAAAGTAAAATAAAATCCCACATTAAGCTATCTACTTATTCTTCAGACATCAGGATGGTACTGCTGGCCCCTCAGTCACTCACCTTGAGATCTGAGCACGTATTTGTGTGCGATGACCGACTGCAGGTGTGCTGATAAGAGAAACCTTTCATTTAGTCAAGCTCACCACGGAGCCTGAAGGCTCCAACAGCTTCACCACACCCACAGATCTACAGCCAGCCTACAACGTGCACATCCTGCTTTCTGTAAAAGAGGGAATGTGGCTCTGCAGACACACCCCACATGTAACTCCAGGCAAAGCTGTGGGGAGTCAGTGTCAGTAAAAATCACCCTTCCTCTCGTGCTCAAAGCCCAGTTCTGTTCCCAGAACCAAAAACTACTCACACAACACTTCAGGTATCAGTTCATACTAATGTCTGTGCTGAGAGAAGAAACAGCCAGTTACCTTTTCCCCTCTTGTTGTCACCCACCTGCTTCCCACCCTAAATTCACAGCTGCTTCCATCTCTCATGTTCTCCAACATCCTGTGTGAGCAGCTTGCCTTAAACCCTCACCTGGCCTGTAGAGAACATTCTCTTCCCCAATGACCTCCACAAATAGCCCCATATTTGAGTTTCCCATCTGCTGTTTGGCAGACCAAGCAGCACACCACGTGTTACAGCTTGAAAAACTCACGCTTTCTTCTGAGCACCAGCATCCGCCTCTTGCAAACCTTCCACTTCCAAAACACCAGCATGGCCCCAAGGAGCACTGCCACGGAGAGGACCACTGCCCAGAGCACCACACCTGCAGCACAGACAGCACAGGGCAGGCTGAGAAAAGGCAGGGGGAAAGCCCTGAGTAGATCCATGCGTTTGAACACAGGACCACGGACATCATTTCACAAGTCAGAGGGGATTAGCAGGAAGTTCCCCCATAAAAATTGTGTTTACCAAAGATACTTCCAAATAAAAAGTGCTAGAGACAGAAAATGCTGTGTCTTTGTTACCTCCTATTGTCATCTTCCCCTTGGCTGAGGTGGGAGAAGTGCCAGCCTGAGCTTTCTCCTCAGGAGTTGAACTGGGATTTTCAGCTGTTGTGACACTTAGGTCACCACTAGCAGAGGTCACCAGGTTCTCCTTAAACATCCTCAGGTCAAAGTTATTTGTTTCATTGCTGAATCTCATGGACAAAGTGCTTGGGGTGAGGTAAGTGGGCAACTGGTCCAGGCAAACTTGGTCGTGTGTAGCATTTCCTTTCCTTAACATTGCTTTGTTCAGCTTGGCACAGCTGGGTGTGGAAAAGAACAGGTATCATTGGAAAAGAACAGGTATCACTGGAAAAGAACAGGTAGCACTGGAAAAGAACAGGTAGCACTGGAAAAGAACAGGTAGCACTGAAAAAGAACAGGTATCATTGGAAAAGAACAGGTAGCACTGAAAAAGAACAGGTAGCACTGAAAAAGAACAGGTAGCATTGGAAAAGAACAGGTAGCATTGGAAAAGAACAGGTATCATTGGAAAAGAACAGGTATCATTGGAAAAGAACAGGTATCACTGGAAAGGAACAGGTATCATTGAAAAAGAACAGGTAGCACTGGAAAAGAACAGGTAGCATTGGAAAAGAACAGGTAGCATTGGAAAAGAACAGGTAGCATTGCCCTGGTCCAAGGCACACGTGTTTTCCATGTGACACACATCCCCTTGGTCATTTTTGTGCCTACAAAATTATTTCTTTCTGTGTAAAAGTCATTATTCTTCTCATCCCTGTGGCATTAATTCTTGTCCTGGATGCAAAGCTGCTACTCACAGAGGTGTGCAATTCCACGGTACTTAGTAAACTAAAAATGAGGCAAGCAGGATTCCTTCTGTCCCTTGTTCCTCCAGGCCAGAGCTGTGCAACAGGCACTAAGAGATGCTTTCTAAGCTCTGCACATGAGCCCATGGTGATTCCCTTGCTTCTCAGATGAATTTACACCAGAAACACACCAGAAGTGACATACCCCGTTTCATCCTCCATTAATTTCAATGCACTAGCCAGTCCCATTAAAGAAGCCCAGCCTTACTTGGTGTGGGGTTTGCAGCTGTCTGTGCTGGAGCTTTGAGCAGAGAAGGTCCCGGGAGGGCACTCTTCACACGTGACATCATTCCTTGCGGTGCCTGAATAAAAATCACAGCTGAGGACTGGCCAAGTAAAACACTCCAGGTCCAGGCCTATGGCCAGGAAAGGCGAAGAGGACGGGTAGGAATTCCTACCCCTGATTTTGACTCCGAAGCCAGGCTCGCAGGCAGAGTGGTGCTGGCAGCGGGAGCAGCTGTTGAGGACGGGCAGCCGGCAGAAGAGCCCCGGCCGGCACTCGCACACGCGGCTGGAGCGGAAGGAGCAGGGCTGCTTCTCCACCAGGTCCAGCTCTGCGGGCACACAACACACGGAAGGGTGAGAGGTTGACAGGAAAGTCTCGCAGATTGCGTGGTGGATACCTCATGTGTGGAGATGTGAATCTTGACTTCATGTTTCAGAAGGCTGGTTTATTATATTGTAATACATGTTATATTACAATACTATATTAAAACTATACTAAAAGAATAATGAGAAAAAAATTCATCAAAAAGCTAGAAAAAACAGAAATAGAATGCATAACAAAGACTCCTGACTCCCTGAGAGTCCGAGCCAGCTGCATCTGTGAATAAATTAAAAACAACCAACATTAATTAAAAACAACCAACATGCACCAATCACAGATGTGCCTTTTGCATTCCACAACAGGAGATAATTATTATTTACATTTCTTTCCTGAGGCTCCTCAGCTCCTCAGGAGGGAAAAATCCTAGCAAAGGATTTTTCATAAAATATCATGATCATACAGATATGTATGCTTGGCAGAAAGATTTTTGAATGTAGAAGCTGAGAATGAAATAGAGATGGAAGCAAGTTTTGATATCGAAGAAAAGAATTGCTGAGCCAGTCTTACTAGATAACCAAGGAGGCAAAGGGTGTGTTAGTTAGAAGGGGGTTTTATGGCTTAGAGCAAAGGATAAACCCACCTCAAACAAGAAGATGTTTTTACCAAGCAGAAAGATAGCACAGACAAACAAGTCTGCCAATGTTACAAGTAGAAAAAAGGTCTCAGAATTTCCACTGCAAGAAAACTGAAAAACAACTTCTAGCTTAAACTGTAACGTACTAACTTTTAGTGGTTGGAGAACAGTGACATGAACATGGTAATTACAGTAGTTATGATAGGCTATAGGTAAAAGTGAAGGTATAGATTGGTTCTACTGTGTCAAGATGCTCAGCAAAGAAAAGTATATAATGCATTTGTACCCTGAGCTCAGGGTCCCCAGGGCTGCCTGCAGCTGGAGCTGACAGCTGTAGGCACAGGCTCTGCCACCATGACCCTGGACTGCTGTAATGTCTTGGATACAATAAACTGCATTTGGAAGAGCTGCCTGGAGTCCCACACCTCTCCTTCAGGCTCTGACATGCAGTGACAGAGGATCACCTTGCAAGGGAAATGGAAACTGGGGCCAAAGCTGAGCAACACCAGCTCTGAGGAAGCAGGAAAGGTGCTGTCCCCCTTCGCTATCACAGACTGGCTTGCGTTGAAGATGAGCTGGACACCGATCCCATCCCACCCCTGCCATGGCAGGGACACTCCCACCATCCCAGGTGCTCCCAGCCCCATCCAGCCTGGCCTTGGGCACTGCCAGGGATGGAACAGCCCCAGCTGCTCCGGGCACCTGTGCCAGGGCCTGCCCACCTCCCAGGGGAAGAACTTCTTCCTAGTACCCAGTGTAAACCTGCCCTCTTTCAGTTTAAAGCCATATGATGGTAATTTAAGTTATGAATAATTAGAGAAGCCTGTAGAAAACAGCTTGTAATATAAGACAGAAAGCAGAAACCAGACTGGGATAGCTTTGGAGGGGGAATTTTTGGGTAGTCCCAGGTCACTCAGGCAGTGACATGGATTACATGCAAGGCAACGTTCTGCTGTCTAACTCAGTAACCAAGGATAATCTTGCTGTGGAAATTCTAAAGGAATCAAATACAGATTGAGTGTAAATAAAGTATACAGAGAAAGAATGTAACTGTGAGGTATGTGTGGAGAAAAGCAAACCTTTTGAGCATGACACACAGGCATCACATCGTGGCTTTTGGGATTCATTGCTCAAATACTGATTAGGCCCACATGTCATGCAGTCTTCAGCTGGATCCTGAGGACATGCTTTCTTTTTAACATAGCCTGGAGAAGAAAAAAATCAAAATATACAAGAATGGGCAATATACAAAATGGGCAGAAAATCATCCTGAAATGTTCTTGTCTGCTTGTTTACCATTAGACACATTACCACAGTCTTCTCTTAGTTATTTGGTTTCTCTAGGACACTTTTGCCTTTCCCATTCAAGTGCTAAGGCACAGGGCCAGGACACAATCCCAGCTGGAATGGACTGCTGTGGAATGGGCACATGACAAGACATTTGCTGACAGAAAAGACAACCAAGGCTCCATGAGGGCCACTTGAATTATTGTGGTGCAACACAACAGCCACTGTCCTGCCAATACAAAGTTCCCAGGGAGCTGGGTTTCATGTTTCCTTCCTTCCTTCATTTGATTAAAAGGACTTTTAGAAAAGCTCCTCTTCCTTTGCAGTGAGCAGCTGAGTCAGCAGCAGGTATGAGCAGGTGATTGTTTGAAGCAGTGGTGGGTGATTAAGGTGGAAAAGGATTCTTGTGACTTTTACTGTGGAGGAGTCCAGGACTGAATGAGGATGCAGCAATAAAGAATCAGCAAAGTGAACTCATGACCTGGTGTAAATCAGATCTCTGCTTCTCACCAAACCTTATATGACACCCTCATGACAGGAGCTTTGCTTCTGAGGAAGAAAAGAGCTTTTCTTGGGACTGTCAAAGCCACATCCCACCCATTTTTTCTTTTATTGGACCGTTTTGTCCATGCCTGGCTCTGAAGGGCTCCTTGGCTGTGCCCAGCATCACAGGATGTCCTGGGGGATCCTGATGGAGCTGGATGCAAACATTGGCAACCAAACACTAAAGCCCCCTGTGCCACAGAACACAAACACAGCTCAGAACTTTCCTTTCAGAAAAACGAAAGAAAAAGGCTTCTGCAAGCAGATTCAGATGGTGCTGAATAAAACAACCCCCAGTGAGGGGGTTGTGGCCAGTGGGGCAGTTTCAGACATTTCCAGAGCTCTTCTCTCCCCAGGGTGTTTCCTGTTGCTGACCTTCCGTGCCTCTGAGTCACACCCAGCTCCTAGCACAGCACAATGTGTCCCCTGACAGGGGCTGCTTCCTCCCTCATGAGACACTTTCTAAACTGTTGGGACTATGAGAATAATGTCAGATTTTCCAAACCTTCGTTTTATGTTTTTTTATCTCTGAGAAGAAACTCATTTAGCCTAATTTCACTGGGCTAATTCACACCCAGGGGCAAGTTTGAAATGAATTCTTTGACCTGGCTACTTCAGTGTCAGGTGAAGTGATAAAAATAAAAATTTTTATTTAATTTTTTTAAATTTTAAAATTTATTTAATTTATTTAAATTATAAAATTCCCATTAAAATTCTATCACATTATCTGGTTTGCTTGCAGATACACAGGAGCAGGACAGTGGAGAAGAGATTCACATCTGGAGCCACATTAGAGAGTGATTCATGAAACTGCCCCTTTCTTCAGGGGCAAAACACAACTCTGCAGATACACAGGGTTCCTACTGACTCCATGACAAGGGTCCATATAAATTTGGCTGAATTGCAAACGTACCTGAGGGACACTGGTAACAGCAGTTTTGTGAAGTTTCATCATAGAACCAATCCTTTACTGTATCACAGGAATGAGGTGGGGTTAATGATGTCTAGAAATTGAAAGAGACAAAAGACACAATTAGAAAGCAATTAATTCTGTACTAGAGCAGATCCCAGTGCCTGTCTCAAGCAATGGTGGTTGCAGACAGTGAGGAAAAGCCCCCAGTTTTTTGAAAATTCGAATATTCCCAAAGCAACTGAATTATTGCCTGCATTTCCTTTAGAAACATTGCAGCAGTTAGCAAAAAACAAAACAAAACAAAACAAAAAAAAACAAAAAAAACCAAAAAAACCCTACCACCCAAAAACCACCAAAAAAAAAAAAAGTTTTTATAACCATTCATGTGAATTGGAGCTAAGTAAGGATTTGCTGTAATCCACAGAGGTCATTCCTGTTTGCAGTATCTCAGTTTTCTGTTACTTAGGCAGTCACACAGTTTGAATTTAGCAACCTAAGTGTCTATTATAAATAAATAAATTATTTTACTTCTCATTTAGGGACAAATCCTACAGGAGGATTTTGCCTTGAAAAGAATGCTGCAAATACTCCCATGATGAAGCCCTTATTCAAATAACTGATCCCACTTCTGTTGTGAGTGAAGGTTTTCAGAAATAACCTTTCATCATTACATAACTGATATTTATTTAGTTAAAAAAAACCCCCATAAAATAGTTTTGATATTAGCTTACAAAATGAGACCCAGCTACAACTTGTAACAAGAATAATAAGATTTAGTTTTTGTGTGCCTGGGCCACTACATGCCCTGGGAAATTACAGTGCTGCAAGTGTTCTGATGAGAACATCTGATTTTTCAACTTGGCATCTCCCTTAAGAATCCCCTAAAAATATTGTTATCTGAGATTCATTTTCAGTGTTTACTAGAAGGTATGAACAGTGATTTTTTGGGGGGTTTTTTGGGTTTTTGGGCCTACGTACTGAACAGATTATGCAGAAATAAAAATGAGAGAGCACTCGAGCTTATTTTCCCCCTTTCCACGGGAGGGCAGCTCTGCACTCCAGCCATCAGCTCATCCATGGCTCCTCCACAAACGCTGCTGTCAAGGGTCCAGCTACAAGCCCAGCTTTGTAGGCAGCTGTAGTGCCACTGAGCCAAACCCAAGGTGCTCTGCTGTGAAAGAACACCTCTCAATTACTGTGAAAAATGCGTATTTTATGATCGGATTTTTGCAAATATTAAAATGAATATTATATGGGTTACGTTGGAAAGTTATGCTGTATTCATTTTCTTAATTAGTGTGTTAAATATAGTTTTAGGTTATAACATAATGTTAAAATAGAAACTATGCTATGTAAGGTACTTTTTTAAAAAGAGAGGAATGAGGTACTCACACCAGATAGCAGCCACAGGACACCTAAATCTTTCAGAGAAAAAGGATTTATTGCTCCCTTATCAGAAGAACCTAACTTCTTCCTGCCTCACTCAGCCCTGAAGATGCCATCAGGATTCAGAGGAAGAAGCTGACACTGACCAGAAAGAATCCTTTCTTTGAATGGAACTTATGCATCATGGATGAGCTGTATGAATATGCAACAGGCTGTTGCTTTTAAGGGTTAATCTTCTGTTAACGTGGGTCCTTTTTTGGGTTTATTTTGCCCACAAAGAGGTACCTGGACTGTCCCTAACTCTTTGTTTTTATTGTCTGATATTGTCCTAATCCTAATTGTCCAAGTTTTTATTACTCTAATTATATTACTCTTTTTATAACCATTTTATTACTATTAAATTTTCAAAATTTTAAAAAACAAGTGATTGGGTTTTTTTCACAATTACCCCATCTCTAAATAAAAAAACCCAAAACTTAATCCAACAGAAATTAATTTAAACAAATCAGCAGGATGTCTGTGACTGGGAAAACACTTTCTGAAGACCCCATCACATTTAATCCATAAGCAAAATGCCTGTAAGTCAGCATCTGCTCAGTAGAGGTGTTTCATGAGTGTAAAAATCAGTATAGATCCTTTCAGTCATAAATAACATCCATGTCAATGCTCAGCAAGTCACCAAGCCCCCGTTCTTGTCACCTTTTTCCAAATTCTAAAGCTGTTTGACTCCTGGTGTGACCTGTAACAGCAACACAATGCTGCCCAGTTCTGCTCTTGGCTCACAGGAGGTTTGGTTCCCAGCACTCTCTAAGGCTCAGCGAAGGAGTACCAGTTTTATTGCAATAACCTCTGCTGCTGTCGTTAGAACTTCCACCTCTGTTTGTAAATGTGTGTTATTAAAAAACCCTTTAACATGCGGGGAAGATCCCACCTATTGGAGTGAGGCATGTGGCTGTGGTGGGCAGCAAGTCTTTATCCTTCTCTCTGACTTTCTCTTTAAATAAAGGCTGTGGATTTAGCAGGAGCTGGAATACATCTTGTGAAAGGAAAGATGACAACTCCTGTCCTGCTTGGACTGCTCTGTGACAGCCTGCACAGGGATGCACTGGTTTGGAGCTTTCAGTCACTCAGCAAGTCAACAGGTTTTTTTTTCTTTTCTGAATGCATTGCAGATCAAGGACCAATTAAATAAAGCAAACAGATCAAAAGTATTTGGGCTTTTCAGCACTTGCTTGAGAGAATTTGTTTTAGAAAATAGGCTTTTTACAGCTCTTCTGACTTTCCTTATTTCTACAAAAATGTTTGCTATTCCAGTTTAAATAATGGCAGTTGTAAAGGTGGTGCTGAATTCAGTGGCTACTCTGCAATTCAGTCAGGACAAGGTTTGACTCATTTATTTATGGTTTTTTTGAACTCATAGAGAAAAAGTGATTGTGAGGCAGAGTAAGAAATCGGCTTGCTACAAATGAGCTGTAAGTCAGGAAGAAAGCATATTACCGTAAAAAAAAATAAATCTACCAGCAGTGGCTATTCTAGAACTGACTAATACTGCAGCAAAACAGTTAACTGTCTGTCAAGCTTCCATCCAAATTCTGACAGTACAGAAAAAGCTGATCACCTACAGCTTCAAGCAGTCATGCTTCATTTGCTTGATAGCAAAGGCATTATCAACAAGTGAGAGTTCTCTGAATATAAAGAGAAACAAAACCCAAACTGTGGACTGAGGTGAGATGGAACATGGTTTAAAAATATGACCAGTAAACAGTGACTTGCTCACAGTAGAAAGTGTCACTTGTGCTCCATCAGCAGTCAGAGCAAGCTGTGAGAGAGGCAGTGCAGGACAGTGCAAAGCAGCTCCTTGTCCCAGCAATGTCTGTGATCATTTTACAGGGAGTCTGAATATTGACAGTGAGTATCAGAAAATTTTCTCTCTGCCTCATTCATTTTGTGAACAAACCACAAAAAGTGATGTCAAAGAGAAAAAGTAACATCTTTTTGTTTCCATTGGCTTTCCTCCTAAAGCAGTGTGCATTCACACACTGGACAAGTTTATCTGAACGCCTTCCCAAGCATTCCTCTGGTGAGCAAGGATCACAGCCTCCAATCCCACAGAACGTTCATCCCTCTGTACTTCAGGAAGGAGACAGTGGCAGGACAGATAACATGGGGAAAGTAAACCAAACTTGCAGTGTGGGAGGGGAATTTACAACCAAAGACACAAGAGCAAACTCCCACCAAAAGAACCAGGAGGATCTTTTTCAAATGTCTATGAAGAGGGTACAGAACGTGGTTATTTTCAAAGATCTAAGTGGAGTCAGTGTCTTGTAAAACAATCTGGCAGCCCAAGTGATGTGCTGGATTTTTCAGTTACCATGTACTGACAGGTGTCTTAGGCTATCTGTGCTTGTATTTCCACTGTAAGGGAATGTGAAAGGGAAATCATAAGGGAATATGGCTCGTTTCCCATCCAACACTCCATGCAAATACTCACCTACTTGACTTTACCTGGGCAGTCTCTCTGTGCCTGACCTTTCTACTTTTTAAATGTGAATTTTTACGTGTCAGACAGGGAAATCACCTGGATTTATGCCAGGTGCTGAGGGCTCATTGCCATGTGATCCCCGGGAGGAGGGGATAAGTGGCAGTGCGTGGGTGGAAGCAAACCCACAAGAGCTGATACGATCAGAACAGGGAGCTGGTGTGCATCTACAGCATCAGCTGAGTTCAGCTAGTGGGTTGTGTCTATTTGAAGTGATTTTTGATTCAGAAATAGTAGTGGATTCATGAGGAAGTCATTGTGAGTAGGGTGGGGGGTGTAAAGAAGAAGGTCTGTTATTGTTTAGCCTCTACACCTTTCAGTTTGCCCCTCCTGACTTGCATCAGCAGAGCGGGCAGCAGCCTTCTGAACCAAGCTCTGCAAGGAATGTGCAAAAATAGAAGCCCCCAGCCCACGAACCCTCCCTCCCTGCCCAGCTGTGATGTGCCTGGGGCTGCAGCAGCTCCAGCAGAGCCAACAAGATGCAGATCTCAGCTCATACCCCACGTCCTGCCCGTAAAGATCCCAGAGAGGGCAAATTCTCCTGGCTGCTCCCTCCATACCAGAGCTCACCTCCCCAGAGCTCTGCTCAGCCCCTTTAGCCCGCTGTGCTGCACAAACCCTGCTGCTGTGCACCCACCCCACAGCCAGCTGAAGGGCAGGATGGCTCTGCAGCCCAGGTGCCCCAGAGGAGCTGCAGGATCCTGGTGTCCCCTGCCTTACCTGTGGGGCTGTCTGGATGTCCTGGAGCAGCAGCAGGAGCCACAGTCCCAGAGGCAGGCTGCAGGCAGCCATCTGAGGTGCTGTTAAACGTCCCTGGCTGCCAGCACTGCAGGTGACACAGGTGGGATGTCCCTTCTGGAGGCTGAGACCCTGCCACGGTCCCAAGTCATGCTCCTTGCCTGTTCCTTCAGTCCAGAGACATTCCAGCTGTTCAAGACAAGCAGGCAACAGGCTTTGAGACTCAGCTGAGTTGAAGAAAAGTAAAAATAGAACAGAACAAAACTGCCTCAATGCCTAGTCCTGGTGCTGGCAGTTTCTGCAAGTCAGTTGTGAGAATCAAGGTTGTCACCCAAGGCACAGGGCTGGCTGTGCTCAGGCTCCTGACTCATCTGTGCTGCCCTCAGAGCTCTTCACCACCCCAAAGCCCTGGCCAGGCACAAGTCCAAGCCCTGCCCCACCAGCAGTCACTTTTTCAAGAGCTGCAACCAAGCCTCAAGGAAGTTCCCAGTAAAAAAATGCTAATTCTTTCAGCACAGTCATTCTACTCCTGTTTGGATGAGTGGGTGAAGACTCACAATCAGCCATGGTGACTCCTCTAAGATTTAGGCTTTACACATTGCCACTTCAAATACCAACATACTGCAGACCTTCCCTTTCCTCCAATCCCAGGAGAAACTAACTCCTGCTGATGACAATCATCCTTAAGACTGTGCTCATCATTTCACTCACTTTCATTTGTTACTCTGGATGATTTTTGTTCTGATGCCTGGAAATATTTCAGTCGGTTGAAGATGTCATGAAGCCTCCTTATCTGCCCTAGAAGTATAGTCAAAAGTGAAGGTTAGCCACTTCAAAAAGGCAAAGTGCCTTGAAAACCCTCTGAGGTACACAGGAAAATAATGACAATTTGAATTCTCACATCTCTGGGTTGTTTTTTCTTTGCTTCGCACCCTTATCAACAACAACAAAAGAAATGACAAAATACTGAAAGTCAGATAAAAATTGTTGTTTTACTAAAGATCCACAGCCACCTCACTGCCATCACAACCAAGCACCAAAGATGAGCATTCCACAGGGAGCCCTGTGTAAATATTTATTTTCAACTCACAGCTGCAACAATTTTAATTCCCTCGATTTCCTTCCCCAGAATGCCATCACACAAACCCCAGGCATTTTCAGCACACTGGTCTAGAGACAACTAAGAATTTCAATGCCAAATTAATATATTCTTGATTTTGCTAATTAAGTAATGGGCTAGAACACACCTTAATCTCCTGTAGTGATAGGCCATTAGGCAATTATCCCAATTTATTAATGCAGTTTCAAATAACATAGCAGTCAGGACAATTGATGAGCTCTGTTTGTATTTTTTCCCTCTCCTCTGTGGTTTTTTTCCTCTTATCAGGCCCTATCCAAGCTTTTCTAGCTAAAGACAGGCACCAACACCACAGAGAGCCTGGAAGGTTTAAGTTACACTGCTGAAGTGAAAGTATCTGATGCAACAATTACTTATGTGAGTACAAAAATCTGTGTGTAAAAGACTTTCCCAGAACAGGGAGAGTTTTCTGGCCTATTTTCCATAGGAAAACTGAAATGAGCATACTGAGCATTTTTTATACATATGTCTGTTCATTCCTTTTTAATGAATGGGATCAATAATTTTTTAACCCATTGGATAAATTCAATTAAATTTGTCTGAGATGGCAATGGCATTAAGTTTTACACAGGTTCATGGAACAAGATGACTTGGATAAAGGGACAAGGTGCTCATGGCACTCACTGAGGGAAAGGCTCCAGGGTGCTCCTGAGAAGAAAAACTCCATTTACACATCCAAAGTGAAACTGCACTTCCCAGCTGCCATTCAAGCTCCCTTGAACTTCTTAATCATTGAGTTCTTTCTTGACTGAACTATATATTTAAAAGGATAGGAAATGGAAAGTGCTTATTGTTGCTGCTGGCTTTTCAGAAAGGCTGTTACATGACAAAATGTTATTACAAGTGTGCAATAAAAGCAACATCAATGAAGAGGGTGAAGAGGTTGTTGCACAGGAACATCACAGTCTGTTTGCATTTCCAAGTGAATGCTTTTTTTCAGACTTGGTGTATTTTGATTTCAAATACAACAAAAGGGGCTTTCCAAAAGAAGCCCTATCAGTAACTGGAAGCAGCACCTCCATTTATTACAAACCCACGCTACTGTTCTCTACATGGTGGCTCTATTTCCTAGAAAATAACCTCCCATGTTAATATGAAAAAACCCCACAGAACAAATAGAAGCAAATAACCAACCCCTGATTCTCTGGTCTTCCATCAAAGGACAATGTCTGTCAGGAAAAAAGGGGAAGCCCCTGTGAGCATGCTGTTATTATTTATAATGTTTATTTGATTACCCATATCTGCCTCTGACACCTGGATCATTTTTTGCTTTCGGTGTTAGTGATGCCCTCAGAGAAGCTTTCTTGGAATTTTCTATTTTAATTCAGAAAACCCTGTAAGTCAGGGGTTGTTCAAATGCCACTTGACACCTGGAGCAAGAGAATGCAGAAGCCACCAGGGAAAGCCTCCACCACATGCCCAAAGCATCCCTTCAAAAATGTCTGTTCTCTGTGCTCCGACAGTGAGAGCCTAGCAAAGGAAGCAGCAATGGAATAATCCAGAAGGATCATTGGTACACACGTGCTCAGGCAAAAGTACTCATGACATTTTCTAATTTTGAAATGGCTGATCTTAATCTCATGTTGTACTTTTACCATGGTTTCTTCTGCTTTCAAATATGTATGTTCAGTTAATATAAATCTAGCTGTACAAGATGGGAAAAAAAACCACCAAGAGAAGTGTCATCTCCTAACTTCTGACAGAGACCAAGAAATTTAAAAGCATACATATTAAAATACCTTGTCTAAAATCTGTATTTCAGTGTCTGGTAGTGTTGCTATTCGGAGTGATGCCAAACTGATTTTTGCCTTTATATATTCTCTATATTCTTTACATATATATTTGTAGCTCTGTAGCCTATTATTGTATTCATAGCTAGCATTTTACCCACTCTATTAGACAGAAAGACAAAATAAATTCCCTAGTGGCTCCAAGCCCTGGGGGTCCAAGGTTGAAACCAGCTTTCTGAGACACATTTTCATAAAGAAAATTTAGTTCCTATCTAAGAGGGTGGAGGGTTTCAGAAAAGGGAAGAACCTGGGAGGAGTTACTTCATCACCTATGGCTCTAGCTGGGGATTCTTGTCAGTCATGCTAAATTGCTAAACGCATAAAAATTGTGTCTGCTAATTTGCTAAACACATAAAAATTGTGTCTGCTAGTTTGCTAAACACATAAAAATTGTGTTCATCTCTGGCACTTTCCATCTGGTGTTTTGTGCACTGTAAGGATCCTAAAAGGAACCTCTATCATCACCCAACTCTGTCTTGTGCTTTTAGGACCACTCAAACAGCATCAAGAGCACTTTGTCAGCAGTATGCTGATAAAAAAAAAATCACCAAATTCTTGCTCATTAGCCAGATGAAACAATGCCAGAGGCTGAAACTTCATGAGGAGCCCCAGGAGTACTAAAGGCAGGGGTGGCTGGGATACACACTACACACCTTGGGGTACAAATTAAAAAAGAAAAGAGAAATGAAGGCATTTCCTGCAATGAGAAGTGCAGGGAAGAAGGCAAGCAAGAAATGAAGAAAGGAAGAAAGCCAGGAATTACTTTCTTGCTGCCTTTCTTGATCTCTTTAGGCATTGCAGCCATGGGAGAGCTCTGAGCCCGGACAGTGACGCTGGTAACAACACACAGGACCTCGGTGATTTCAGGCACTGAAAGCCAATACTGAGCTTCTCAGTAAATCCTTCCACAGCCAAAGAGGACAGACAGAGGGAGGGCAACACCGGAGCAGTGGGATCTCACTGAGATCCAGCACACAGCCAGTCACTGGGCTTGGAGCTGACACAGCATCTGAAATCACACGTGGAGGAAACAGAACCTCATTTGTGCCACAGACTGACAAAATTCTGCCCCTCTGTGCCACTCTGGTACTGATATTTACTTGGTGACCCATACACTTCTCATTCTTAGTTTTACATATCTGTCAATCCATTTAATTATGTTTCTTTAATGGATTAAATACACAGCAGGTGCTCTTGAGAACTTGATCTGAGAGCTGTCTTGATTCAGAAATTTACCTTAGTACATTTGTCCATTGTGATCAACAATGAAGATGGTTTAAAGCTTTTGTTGCACACTTGTTAAAACGTAGCAATGGCTTAAAATGGGGTACCACCAGGAAAAAAAAAGGTTACCATATTAATAATTAAGATAACAGGACTTAATTTCCAATTACACTCCTTTACATGTCATTTAGATAAATTTTATGTGGACAAAAAAATCTTATGTCTTTGTTTTCATTTCCTTTACTAATACTGCTGCCTTACATAAAGGGATAAAATAACTAATGTAACAAAAAAAAAAAATCTGTATAAAATGTCTTTTACTGTCCCATAGTAGCTTCAGAACTAAAGCACATTTTGAGTCAGACTGAAAAATGAGAAGAGCTGACAGAGAACTCAGGTCTAAAATCTGTATTCCAGTGTCTGGTAGTGTTGCTATTCAGAGTGATGCCAAACTGATTTTTGCCTTTATATATTCTCTATATTCTTTACATATATATTTGTAGCTCTGTAGCCTATTATTGTATTCATAGCTAGCATTTTACCCACTCTATTAGACAGAAAGACAAAATAAATTCCCTAGTGGCTCCAAGCCCTGGGGGTCCAAGGTTGAAACCAGCTTTCTGAGACACATTTTCATAAAGAAAATTTAGTTCCTATCTAAGAGGGTGGAGGGTTTCAGAAAAGGGAAGAACCTGGGAGGAGTTACTTCATCACCTATGGCTCTAGCTGGGGATTCTTGTCAGTCATGCTAAATTGCTAAACACATAAAAATTGTGTCTGCTAATTTGCTAAACACATAAAAATTGTGTCTGCTAGTTTGCTAAACACATAAAAATTGTGTTCATCTCTGGCACTTTCCATCTGGTGTTTTGTGCACTGTAAGGATCCTAAAAGGAACCTCT